TGAGAAAACACTTGGGTGACTTCAGCTGGAATGGTAGAAGCACCAGGGCCTTGGGGTCAGAAGAGCCTGTCTTTCTTGGGCCTGGTGTATTCTGGATAGGTGTAGACCTTGTCTGGTAACATTTACTATCTCAGAATTTCCTCACCAGTAAGATATGGTGTTACCACTTACTTCACAGGGTTGTGAGGCCACATGACTCAGATTAACAGATGAAAATTTCAGTAGTGCAATAACATAAGAGAAATTTCAGGGGCCTGAAAGAACCCTGAGAAATGTTCATTTCCTCCTCTCTTCAGAGTTATTCTCTTTCTTTCCCATCTCTCTCCCTCGCTGTCCCCTCCTGCCTCCCTCCACCCTAGCTGCAAATGGAAGACAATGTTTTCTGTCACTATAATGGGAGTACCAAGAATAAACAGGGTACATATCATCCAGAAGGAAGACCGAAGACGGAAAGCCTTGTGCTGAATATAGAATCTGTAATTCATGCCCACGATGCTTCCCCGTGTTGAGGAGGAATGGAGAAAAGAAGAAGATGAAGATGGACAATTAGTACCAACATGGAGTTTCAAAGTTTAGGCAGCTTCAAAGGCATTTAAGCACTTTTATACAACTTTGCTTTAATACGTTCTCTCAGTACTCATTAAAATACGTATGCCACTTACACTAGAAATATCTTCCCGGAAGGAAAAGAAGAAAGTAGGTTAGTAATTTACAAGCTTATATCAAATCTCCATTGCCTCCATTTGATTTAGGAAAAGATGTAGCTCAAATGACTAGCATCAAGCCTAGATGGGAGGAAAGCTTCATAAAAATTAAAATACAGCTACAAAAAAAAATCCTACTCCATGAAAGACCGAGCAAATAAAGCAGGACTGGGTCTGGGATATGTGTTTTCAACGTCCTCCAGAATCCTGGTACAGGTTATCCACAAATTTTATTTTGAGAAACATGAGCTTAATGGTTAAGACTGCGGACTTAAGGAGAGTCCTGTGTTCAAACCCTGAATTCACTACACCTCATTTTATGAATTTGCAAGTTTAAACTTCTCTGATTTCAAGTTTTCTAAGTTTTGAAATTTGAATTTATATATATATTTCAAAGGTTGCTGTGATAATTAAATAAAATACATTATGGAGTAATGGTATCTGGTATGTATGAAAAATAATACTATTATATATTGCCATTATTGTGTAAAGGACTTGGATCCTTTTTTTCTTTATCGTTTCATTCTTTTCTTTTTATAAATACAGAAGAATAATGAATTATGAAAATGGTTTATGTAACTTGACAGAGCCTCTTTCCCTTGCTTAGAATGGAACTTCATTCTCATTACTGAAGATGGCAGTCGGAGCTCCTGCTGCGTCCCACACAGTGGGATGGAGGCAGGGAAGGGAAGGCAGACTCCTTCTGTAAGGGCCTTCCTGAAAGGTTATGTCCATTCCATAAACCAGAACACAGCTGCCCGGAAGACTGAAAAGTGTGACCAACTAGTATTCCGGGTAGTCAGTCACGTGCCCAGAAAACTGTGGCTTGTGTTATGATGGAAAATTGGAGAGGGGGAGTTTGGAAGGACAGGTCTTGATCCCTGGTGTCTCTGACCAGGGATGCCTCACAGATTTAGGTTTTTCCTGTGGATCCTCTGCTCTCATCCCTCTGAGTGCTGGTTTCTCAAGCGGCATCTTCCTCAAGGCAGGTCGTAATTACTTGTCCCACTCAGTTTGGCTAATTTTCTTCCCTGATTCCTTCCATAGCTCCACACCTCACCTGTAAGCTTCACTGCACCCCCCCTCCCAAGTTTTGTCTAACTGTAATAGGCAACACAATCATTCTGTTATAAAAGTTAAAAATCAGAACTAAACACTTAGGAGGAATTCCAGTATCAAAAAACATTGGTCCTGGGAAATACTCTCAGTGTTCTCAGGAACAGACTCCTACCATTCCCCCAGCAGATACGTTGATATGTGAGGAAGACCTAGTCTGCACGACTGTCTTTGACTTCTGTTACACTGAGCAGTGTGTTGAGAGTGACACTTCATGCTAAAGGTCATAGGCCAACAGCATCAGCTGTAATGACGACAGAGTTCCCACTGTGTCAGTGCAGTCACACCTTACAAACCCACTCCCCCTTCTTGTTTGCGTACCTCCCAGTCTCCTTCTCCACAGAGAGCTGAGTCTTTGTACTTCTCTAGGCCCCAGTTCCCCCTCACACTATCTGTGGCTATGTTATCCCACTGCCAAAGGGATGCAAGGTCTCCTCTCTACAATCTGCCTGGAATCCCATTTTCAAATAAGCATTGTAGAGTGAGAAAATCTCAGAAGACCTGAATTAAAGCCATCCTACTCCCCTAGGAACCCCGACATATTCCAATGCAAGGGGACAGTTCCACCCCACTGCCCAGAAAAGTACACACAAATATCTTAGGTGAGAGAAATCCTGAGTTGTTAGAACTTTCAGTGTGCCAAGCCAACCTCAAATAAGACCACATCAAGGCCATTCCTATGTGGAAAAACCAGTCTCAATTATGAAAAAAAAAGCATTTGACTGAATTAATTATTTAGACAGACGACTGATCTGACAGATGATGATTCATAAGCTGATTTATTTTTTCAAAATCTATGATTGATTCCTGACTAATTGTTTCCTGCACTCAGTTGAGTTTCCTAATGATCCAAATGCTCATGAGGTCTACAGTTTCTGAAGAAGACTGGAGACAAATTATGCTTCTCACAAACCACTTCCCATTTGCAGGTGGTTTCCACTTCCACTTTCTTCCCATCAGTGCTGAGGAGTATGCAGAACTGGTGTCATTAGTTCCCCATTATACATGATGCTAATAAAGGAAGACATTCGCTGAGCACATATTATATTCCAGGCAAGATGTAAAATGCATTATGGATATCCTTTATTGCTCACAAAAGCCTTAATGAGGTAGACATTCTACTAACACCCTGTTTTATATATGAACATAGTTCAAAAAATATTAATCCTAATCACATAAGTAGAAAGAGGGTACAACCAGAATGCAAAATCAGTATAAACCCAGAAAGAATCATTGACTCTCTGTATTGGCTGGTTTTATTTCAACTTGATACAAGCTAGAGTCATCTGAGAGGAGGGAACCTCGACTGAGAAAATGCTTTCATAAGATCATGGGTATGGGCAAACCTATAGGACATTTTCTTAATTAGCAACTGATATGGGATGGACCAGCCCATTGTGGGTGGTAGCACTGTGGGCTGGTGCTCCTGGGTTCTATAAGAAAGCAGGCTGAACAAGCATGGAGAGCAAGGCAGTAAGCAGCACCCTTCCATGGCCTTTGGATCAGCTCCTGCCTCCAGGTTCCTGCTCTGTTTGAGTTCCTGTCCTGCCCTCCTTGGATCATGCACAGTGATATGGAAGTGTAATCCAAAGAGTTTACACCCACCCCTTCCTCCCCATGATATTTCATCACAGCGATAGTAACCCGGACTAACACACGCACTCAAACCCACATAGCTGTGAGTCCAGTCTAAACCATATTCCTGATATCGGGATTAAGAACTAAAGCCCCAGACTCTGGTAGCCTGGGTTCAGAGATGATGTTTGCTAACATTTATCAGTCCCCAAGTGTGTCACCTTATACAAGTTACCGAACTGTTGGGCTTCAGTCAGCGTCTTCAGTACACCGGATGGTGAACTTCTGTCTCAAAAGGTTCCTGTGCTGTTTCCATTTCCCAGATATTGTGAACAGAGCAGCAATGCCCCACACCTGAGGCTTGGGGAACACTGTGGAAGGGGGGCAGAGAATGTAAGAGTCAGTGGATCAGGGAGTTTGGAGACTGTGCCTCCCACTTATATCAGAAGCCATTCCTGTGAGATCTCACCAACATGCTACCCAAATAAAAGCTGAACAATGGTTTTTCCAAATAACTTTGTAGTGAGATAAAAGATGCAAGAATATAAACATTGATTTAAAACTCTTTCTGATATATATGTGTGTGTGTGTGTGTGTGTGTGTGTGTGTGTGTGTGTATGCACACACACACACACAACAAAGTGCATAGATCTTGGAAATAAGTGGAAACAATAAGGCATAGCCACAAACCCCCAAATCAAATATAAAACTAAGGTGTTGCTAACGTATGCTAAGGTGGAAAAGGAAAAAACCCATGAGACCTCAAAGCTACCCAAAGAACTACAGGAAATTGAGGAAAGCTGGGAAGAGGAGAAGTGCCCCCCAGGGAAGAGCCCCCCAGGGAAGAGCACAGAAGTTGGTTGTCCAATGCCCAGCAGTCAACACTGAAAGCATGCACACAGATAGCATTATCTGGACTGAACTGGTTGTATTGGGGAATATATTTACGTACATGAATGTATATTCATGCATGCAAAGCAACTGGTGGGGGAAGAGGCCATAAATTTGAGGGAGAGTGGAGAGATATGGAGGGAGGAAAGGGAAGGCAGAAATGTGATAACTGTATTAAAATCTCAAAAATAAAAAACTAGATCTTTGCCCAAAAATAGGGGTGGGATCACTATGATGGTTGCTGTTAATTGAAAATTCGACAGAATCTACAATCATCTAAGAGATGGACAGCAGGCTGAGTGTACCTCTGGAGGTTATTTTGATTATACTAACTGATGTGAGGAAATCCATCTTAATTGTGAGCAGGACCATTCCTTGGGCAGGAGATGATCCTGGACTATGTAAAACTGAAAAAGAGAGCTGAGCACTTGGAAGCAGTCATTGTGTTTCTGGCCAAAGCTGTGGTGTGAGCAGCTGCTTGAAGCTTCTGCTGCCATGATGGGCTCCTTGAATTGCAAGCCAAATCAACTCTTTCTCCTTAAAATTGCTTTTTGTCAGAGCACCTCATCACAGAGCAAGAAAAGAAAAGAAGACAGCCACCTACACTAAATGAGCCAGGCGGTCTACACACAGTCATCATTAGTAGTTGGTAGGAGATCTTCCGTTCCTCCAGCCTGAAGCTCAGTTTGTATTTTCTGGTCTGTGTCTTTGCAGGTGCCTCGAGCCAAGGCCTTGTGTAACTACAGAGGGAAGAATCCTGGTGACCTGAAGTTCAATAAAGGAGATGTCATCCTCCTCCGGAGACAGCTTGATGAGAACTGGTACCAGGGGGAGATCAATGGAGTCAGTGGGATCTTCCCAGCTAGCTCCGTGGCTGTCATCAAGCAGCTGCCCCAGCCGCCACCACTCTGCAGGGCCCTCTACAACTTTGACCTTCGAGACAAGGATAAGAGCGAGAACCAGGACTGCCTAACCTTCCTCAAGGTAAGGCCACATACAGACAATGGGAGAGGAAACCACAGTCCATTGTTTAATACTTGATGTTTTTAAAAAGTATGCATGCTACATGAATGCGCTCATGCATGTGTCTGTGTGTGTGTGTGCACACACACGCACATATGCAAGTGATAAGTGTGTATAATTTCAACTACATGTACTCTGTATTGGTCAATGTTCTATTGCTGTGGAGTGGCACGTGGCCGTTGTAACACTTATAAAAGAAAGTATTTAACTGGGGCTTCATCTGTGTTTTTAGGGGTTGTTATACCATAGGTATCAAAATCCCATCATAAAAACCTAAGTTGGGTTACCTTTTTAGTTGCTGCTGTGACAGGTTAACGTGTAAGCACATGAAATGACACTGTACTGCTATACTTCCACAGTAAAAGTCCCTAAACTCATTCATTTAACAATTTCTTTTAAATTTAATGTGTTTTAATTTTATGCATATGAGTATTTTTCACACATGCATGCATGTGTATCATATTGTGTCTGGTACCTGTGGCAACTGGAAGAGGGCATTGGATCTCTGGAAGTGGGGTTACTCTGGGAGTGGCGAGCCCCTGTGTGGATGCTGGGAATGGAACCTGGGTCCTCTGTAAGAGCAAGTGCTCTTAACTACTGAGTTATCGCTCAAATCCCTCCTTCCATCTGGCAATTTGGTCACTGGGAATATGATGGGAAAGTGTGACAAAGATACCAGAGCAGAGGATTTTGTCCATTCTATCACTGTGGAACACTGAAGCCTCATTAGAAAAGTCTAGGGTAGTGCTAAACCCAGCATGTCGATATTCAACCAAAGATCTTCCCTCCCTCTGCCAAGTGTTGTGGTATATCTATAATCTTAGCATTTGAGATATTGAGGCAGGAGGATCACTGAAGTGAATGTGAGCTCCATAGCTAGCCTCTCTCTCTCTCTCTCTCTCTCTCTCTCTCTCTCTCTCTCTCTCTCTCTCTCTCTCTCTCTCTCTCTCTCTCTCTCTCTCTCTCTCAAGAAAGGGTGTGATGGCTAGGGAGATGGCTCAGTAGATAAAGGCACTTGCTGCCAAACCTGGTGACCTGAGTTCAGTCCCCAACCACAGGGTTCAAGGAGAGAACCAACTCCCACAAATTGTCCTCTGACTTGCACACACATGCCATGATACATGTCACACACACAGGAGAGAGATTTGTAACAAGTGTCCCTATTAAGGTATTAAGTATGACATCATTTGTATGAAGTAAGAGAGTAGACAACATTAGGGGACAGTACCAGAGGTCATGATGCTACAATGTGGGAAAAGGCACAAAGGGACTCTAGGCTTCATACTTTGATTTGTTTGAGAGTTCGTGGCTGTAGTTAATTGTTTCCGCTCATTTCCAAGATGTATGCACTTTATTGAATGCACATATGTATGTCTTGAACAGAATTTAGGTCAATATTCATGTGCATATATCTTTTTCCTTGCTACAAAAGCATCTATAAAATGTCAGGCAAGCTATTAGCTGTGTGATTGTGGACAGAATCCACTTGTTTTTCTTACCGATATTTTCAGTGTTTCTGCAACTTTCATATAATCTTTTGTAGTAAGGAAAATTTGCATGAAAGCTGCTTTATTTTTAACATTTTAAGTTGGAGTCAACGCTGAAAGGCCTTCAAAACGGGAATGAAAGTAATTCCCCTTCGCCAAGTTAGAGCTGCATCACCCATGGCTTCCCTCTTGGTGTCTCTGTCAAGTTAATGGAAATGAAAACTACAGAGTCTGTTGTTGATTGCAGTGCTATGGGTTTTCCTTCTGGGTTCCACTGATCCTCAAATCACTTCCATTCCTCTTGAAAATCTTGGTGACCCAAACACTACCTTCTATGATAGCAGAAATATTTCCCATACAACCAAGTCAAGAGATACACCTTTTGCTCCCTGCTACAAACTGATCCCCATGGAAGAATTCATTGCCTGAAAGTGAAGGGTAGAGCTGACTTGAGACCTTCTCTTTCAGGATGACATCATCACAGTGATCAGTCGAGTGGATGAGAACTGGGCAGAAGGGAAGCTAGGAGACAGAGTGGGCATCTTCCCCATCCTGTTTGTAGAGGTATGTGAGACTCCCATCTACATATGAGTCAATCTCGCTCCAAGATGCCTGTGTCCCCAGTGATGTCTGAGGGCAATTTCTATTTAGTGTAAGTGTTAGAACTCACTGGAAGCTCTAAAGAAAAATTCTACACAGTGACACCCAATTCTGGTGGATATGGAGAAATGGGCCTTTTCCATTGTTTCTTGGAGTGTAAAGTGGTCAAATTTACTCACATCAAATGCACTGCTTTATGTTAACAATTCCACATCTGGGAATTGACTATAAGGAAATATTTAAATAAACATGTAAGGTTGCTGGTACAAAACATGCAAAATGTTCACCATAGCATTGTACGTAACGGTAAAATGCATAAATAATCTAAATAACCAATAGTAAGGGCTCACTTTGTGGGGGAGAGACAGGATCTCAACATGTAGACCAGGCTGAACTCAAACTCACAAAGATTCATCTGCCTCTTTCTCCCGAGTGCTAGGTTTAAAGGTATGTACCACTACAAGTGGCCTACCCTTTATTATGGTACTAGAAAAAAATTATATATACCATTTAAATGTTAATAATATTGTGAAGTACTTGGAAAATACATGACTTATAGTTGAGTTGAAAACAAATTGAATGAGTATAGATTTTATTTTTTAAAATTTTTTATCTGTTTTTAATTACATTGTTCTGCATGTTTCTGTGTTTGTGTAAGGGTGTCAGTTCCCCTGCAACTGGAGTTACAGACAGCTGTGAGCTGCCATGTGGGTGCTGGGAATTGAACCCAGGTCCTCTGAAAGAGCAGTCAGTGCTCTTACCTGCTAAGCTACCTCTCCAGTCTCTGAGTATAGATTTTTAAACCCTCAAAATGAGAAAGTTCTGGAGATCCGTCCATAACTCTGGGAATGCATTCAACATTGCTGAACTAGATGCTTAAATGAAACTGTAGAAAACCAAGTTGAGCCGAGTTGGAAGCAGCTCTACAGATGTGTGTTTGTGCATAGAAGTGAGTAAGGGGCTGCAGTGAGGTGCACCGACATACACTAACATGCTGGAAGTAGTGCCCACTCGATGTAAAATTCAGAAGCTGGAGGTTGGCATCCGGTGTCATTCTCTACAGCCCCCCACCGTATTTCGAGACAATCGGTGAACCTGGACTTTGCTATTTTGATGACACTGCCTGGCCAACAAGCACTCAGGATCTTCCTGTCTCCATACCCCCAGCACCAGCACTGGGGTTTGAGGCGTGTGCTACCACACCCAGCCTTTACACAGGGTCTGGGCATCCAAACAGAGCTCGTCACCTCTGCACAACAAGCACTTTGCCTTCAGAGCTAATTCCCCAGCCTTACTTCTGTGGGTTTGTTGGTTTTTTTTTTCTAACAACTTAAAAAACAAGCTAGGCTATCTGTTTCTCCAGTATAATTACCTAACCTCTAGTCTCTAACCTCACCAGCCATGAGCCTCACCCTAGCTTGAAGCAAGTCGTTGCAAATTCAAGAGAGAGTTTTCATTGTTTAACTGCATTCACGGGGTGCTTACCATGTATAAAAGCATTAAAAGTGAGTATCGGAGAGCTATAAAAAGAAGTACCGGGCAGTGTCCCCACCCTCCAGCAGGGTGGTGAAAATAGGACTGAGCCATAATTGGGGAGAAGCAGCCGATTCTTCATGAGTGAAAGTCAAAGCAGGTTCTGCAGCGAAGGGTGTATCCTTGTCCAGCTTCCAAGGTGCTGGGTATGTCCTTCACTCAGCCGTCAAAGCAACAGTGGCGGGAGAGTGCAGCTCAGCTGTGCTGCTAGTGCATGAACTCAAAGGTCTTCTCATCCCTCATTCCTGGTCTCTTTCTGGGCCTCCTCCTGGTATTCCTGCCTTGTGCCTGGCGCGCCTTCCCACCTGGTCAATTTTCACTCATTTTATGAGGCTCTGCTGGGGAAAAAATGTTCAGGCCCTTTTAGCAGCCAGGTGAACATTGTTTGATTTCTGTCTTCTCTAAACATGTGGCAGGTGTGTTGGTTACACTTTACAGGCCAGCTAACGCAGAACAGGTTCTCCATAAAAAATAAATAAAATTACCTGCCCAGCTTGTATGAGGCCTTGGGATCCAGTAACAATACAGCAATATTTACAGCATTAAATTGAGTAAACGAAAATCCATTTGAAGGTGGTTAGAACAAAAATAAGCCGTTCACTCTGACCCTGACCCTGTCCCAAGCACTCATTTATTTAGTCATTCATTGGCACCTGCTCTGTCAGGTTCTACACTAAATTTCTAAAGATACAGGGTAGATATGGGTCCCTAATCCCAGAGATCATACCATCAGGCACTCGGGTAATTGATTACAAGGATGATGGATGATACAAAGAGTGAAGTAGAGGAAACTGTTACAGGGCTATGATGTTCATCACCGTCTGGGAGGTCGGCAATGCCCTCTGAGCCAATTGAAAAGCAATAAGGTTAGGCATGTACGTATGGAGGAGGAAGTGGTTAGGGTCATACAAGAAGCAAGAGGACCCAGAGACGACTAGATCTAGAGCTAACTCACTAAGCCAAAGAAGTAAATTGTAGTAAATTGCTGACCATCTTGTAAATAGTCAGAAAAGACAGGGTGATGCTGGCATACTAAACAGTCCCACAGTCTCAGTGGCTCAACAAAGAAAATGCTGTTTTCTACCTACACTGTTATGTTCAGCACAGGATGCTGAGTGGTTCTACTCACAGACATCTGGGAACCCACACTAATAGGCCTGGACTGTCTTTTTAGTCATGACATCTGGAGCATGTGTCCTTACTGGTTTCCGAGGGAGGGGAGAATGGATTGTGTATTCACAGCTGAAATCCTCTGAAGTAGCGCTACACATATTCACTCACTGCCCATTGACTGGACCAGTCACATTGCTCTACACACATACATTCACTGTTCATTGCTGGACCAGTCACAACACTACAAGTCAGCAGAGGAAAGGTGACCACATGGGATACACAGTGAAGATCCTCTACATCTTCCTATAATAAATCTGGATTTGACCCAGAGATCGGTGACTTGATCAGATTTGGTTGGTTTGGTCGATTATTGTTTTTGGTTGGTTGGTTAGTTGGTTGGTTGGTTGGATGGATGGATGGATGGATGGATGGATGGATGGTTGGTTGGTTGATTGTTTGGTTGGTTGGAGTTGACTTGTTTATTCTGTTTTCAGATAGTCTCATTGCATATCCCACGCTGGCCTGATGCTGGATGTACAGCACAGGGTAGCCTCGACCTTCCGCAGCCTCCTAAGAGCTCTGATTACAGATATGAGCCACAAGGCCCAGACTTTGGTTCCTGAAATGCAGTGGAAAGAATAAATTGAAAAAACAAAAGAAACACAGAACGGCAGATGAACAGTCTGGGGCATGGTTCCTTTAGGAAATTATGTGACTTTGACCACTAGACTGTAAACAAATTGACAAATTCAATTCTACCTCTTATGAGGATTTGGGAATTGCAGAGGTGGAGGATATGGGAAAGAGGAGACGGCCTGGGGTATCTCCACTTTCTGGCTTGTGTGCCTAGGTCAGTGGTGAAACCACTTGCTAAGTAGAAACAATGGGATGACTGGGGGATGTTAAGTCTCCCAGGACCTGCACTTGGTACCTAACTGAATACACTTGAAGTGGGAGGCTTTGGCCTGATCTCCTGCATTACTTTGAGCTGCTCCTTCATAGCTCAAGGGTTAAGGGGTAAGCATTAATTTCATCACCTGTTTCTGAATACTACTCTTTTCAAAACTTCTGTATTTAATGCTTATCCATTTGGATACTCTCACTACCAATTTACCTCTAAAATTAGTAATTAGAAGAACCCTCAAAATTATCATTAAACTAGCCATGGCTTCATTTGTTCTCCTAATTGCCAGGAGGGAGGAAGAAAATAATCAAGTGGTTTGTCTAATTGGGAGCCTACTTTTCAAACATTACTTCAAATCTAAATTGAGCTTTTTAAAGCAGTACTTAAAGTTTTGACTCCAGTAATTTCATTAAGAGTAGCGCGTGCTAAGAACTCTTTAAGTAAGTTTGTATTGCCAAAGCTATGGAGAACAATAGAAAGGAAGGCTGTCTTATAAGGGTAACATGGATTTCTGTGTGTGTGTGCATAAACAAGACATTCGCTGTTATCACGTCATTTGATTTATTGCTCTGCACCTGCCCAAAGGGTGACTAAACAAAGCTGAGCTTTTGCCCCCTCCTGTCAGGACTTCTCCCTAGGGCAGCCTTGGCTACATGAACCTCATCTTGGCCAATGAACTCCAAGGATATTGTTTCCAATGAGTGCAAATCTGAGGGCCCCACAGTCCTGCCCCAGCTGAACTGTCAGTCATGCAGGTGGGGGGCAGGGCAGAGGCAGACTTTCACAGGGCTCTTTGTTAGTGCTACTGATAAAAAATATTTTAAAGGTGATGGCGGTGCCCACCTAGAGGCACAACCGGCCGGGCAAATAAGAAAGAATTACTTGTGTCATTACAGCTGCAGATGGCTAAAAAGAAAATCACTCATTCAAATTGAAGGCTATCAGTTACCCCCCTGTACAAACAGGTGCTGTGGGGCCTTGCAAGGCCTTGTCCTTAGTCCAAGCTACCATTAGTGCCCGCCAGAGCAATGTCAACACGTTGCTAATTGGTATCCCTACTTCTCATCATTCCTTATGGGTAACATCAAGAAGGACATTTTCATCAAATGGAGTAAAGCCGGCTCTTTGCTTTTTTATGTATCTGGATCTCTGTTTTTTATAAATACGTATAATTATATAAACACACTACAGTCGGTATACAGAAAAGTTCCAACATGCTCCCCCCAAATCCCTCATGCTGCACCCTCTTCACTATTCCTCCACAGACTCTCAGTACCTAGTAACCAGTGATCTACTTTCTGCCCCTATGGCTTTCCTTTTCTAGAATGTTCTAAAAATGGAATCCCATAGAACATAGCCTTGTGAGCTTGGCTTCTTTCATTTTGCTTAACACCTGTGAGATTCGTCTGTGCTGTGCCATGTGTCTACAGCTCATCTTTTTATTAGGGTGGTGTCCCAAAGCACAGATGTTCCAGAGATGGCATCTGGGGAGACAGTTCTGTCTGTAAGTCTTATTGCACAATTATCAGGACCGGAGTTCAATCCCAGAGCCCAGGTTTACAAAACAAAACAAAACAAAAAACTGGTTATGATGGTACACAATTGTCATCCCAGCACTGGGGAGGTGGAGACAGGTGGATGCCAGGAACTCAATGGCCAGCCAGCCAACTCCAGGCCAATAAGAAACCCTTCCTAAAATCCAAGATGGGCAGCTCCTGAGGAGCAACAGCTGAGGGTCACCTCTGACCTCCACATGCATGCCCGCAAATCTAAATCGCCAGTCAGTCAATTGGTAATAAATGGCACTGAGGTGGTTTCTGGTGTTGTTGGCAACTCTGAATGAAACTGTGGTTTGAGCATACATTTTTCTTTCTTCGAGTAATTACCCAGAAGTGGGATTGCTGGATCAGATGCTAAGTGTGTGTTTATGAGAAACTGCCAAACCGTAACATGAGCTTTAAAAAGCGTAAATCAGATCATGTCACTCCTCTCCGCAGTCCTGCCAGGGGCTTCCTGTTACACTGAAAATAAGTCACGGCCTCCTGAGTACTTGTGCGATCGGGTGCCTGCCAGCCCTGTCTCCTCACCTGCTCCCGTCCATCCTTCTCCACTGCTTCCTACCCAGCCCTCTCACATCCTCATTTCTTCACAACTCTCTTTCTTATCACTCAGCTTAAATGCCGCCTTCTTCCTTGATGCTCGCCCACTAGTGTGGAGTGGCCCCTCCCCTCTCCCTGGAAGACATTACCATCTGATACCTCCTTTTTACCTAGTTTACACATGGTCTCTGTCACTTATGCCACTCCTTCTGGGCCTCAGCTTGCTGATCTTTGAAATGGACCTTTTTTTTTTTAAGTGCACTGAGGAGATGTTTCAGTAAAGCACTCGGTGAACTCCAGGCCAGGGGCAGATCCTGCCTGAAAAAGCAAGGGGAATTTTCCCAAGGAATGACAGCAGAGGTTATCCTCTGGCATATATATATGAACACGGTAACACTAATCCCCTAGCTGGTGAGTTTTTCACAGTGTGGCAAGCTTTTTTTAGACAAGAATCACCTCTTCTTCAAAGTCTTCTATCTCAGCTATTTTAATCACTGTTTAAGAAGTTCTTAAATGGGATTTTTTTAACTTCTCTAGTTGGATTTCTAAATTAGAATGAGAGGTGTGGCTTCGGAGAACAACTGGTAACTGTTGTAATAATAGGAATTTAACTAATCAACCTGAAACTGAAGTGTTGATTCACAGGAACCCTCATTTTTTTTCCAACAGATTTCATATTTCCAAAGGCTATAAGCCCCCAGAGGCCCTCAGAGGTGATGAGGAGGAGGATGGGGATGACTACAGTAACTCAGCAACACAGCACTGAGCTGGCTGGCACCAGATCAGAAACACCATTTGTTACATTTCCAGAAATTGTGCTAGCCAGATGTTAAACAGTTGGTTTATCGATAACACTACACACCAGGGCTTTTCCGTCCTTTTTTAAGTTTTTTTCCCCTAGCTAACTTACTAGAGCAAATTATATTAGAGACAAAGAACAGGAGAGGAAAGTGAAGGGATAGCAGTATTTGAGATTAAAAAAAAAAAAACAGGATTATCAGAAGGATGTAGTCAAGGTCCTGGATGTGTGTCTATTATGTCTTAAATTTATCAAATGTATAAACATCAAATGGATAAAAGATAGAATTTGTTATTATACTGACCAAAGGATGGCCATTGTAGCCAACAGCCAAAGGATGGCCAGCCAGCGGCTGAGAAGCTAGCGTTGACAGCCAGTGAGCGTGAGACTTAGCTACTATATTATGTCAGAAAGTAACTCTCATCCATTCTTTTATCTTTGCAGCCAAACCTCGCGGCAAGACACCTCCTAGAGAGGAACAAAGGGCATCAGTTATCACGCACGAAAAACCTGTCCCTGATGTCCTCACCACCCAAAGGCAAAGCAACCAACACATCCACCCTCCGAAAGAACCCTGGGTCCAGGAGGAAGGGGTCTGGGCAGTTCTCCATCACAACAGCTTTGAACACACTCAACCGCATGGTCCATTCTCCTGAAGGTCACCACATGGTGGAAATCAGCACCCCAGTGCTCATCAGCTCTACCAGCCCCTCTGTGTTTTCTCAGCATGGTGACAAGGCAGACTTCCCTGCCAACTCTGCAGGACAGGTAGGGGATAAATCCATTGGCACATTGCTGGTAGGCAAGAGAGTTTCACCTTGTCACAATCACCGTTGGATGCTTAGGGCCAGGCACCCAGAATGCAAGAATATTAACTGAAGCCCTGTGTACTGTCAGATATTTGTGGTCTCACTTTATCCTTAAGCATCCTGTACGTTAAATATGATTATTATTATCCCTGCTTTACAGGTAAGTGATACAGAGTTCAAAGTGTTAAACAACTTGCCCAAATTCCCAGATACTTTTCAATTTTCTGTTCTGTGGTAAACATGGTTGCCTCTTCATAAGAAAACTTTCCTCCAAGGAGATGTTGGTAGACACTTTCCAGACAAGGTTTTGGCATAGTATGAGACTCACTGTTACAGCTTCTGCAATAGCCTGGGTATCACACAGAAAGAAAGCAATAGGACCTTCGGGTTAGCAGGTGTTCCTCAGGACAATGATAGAATTTGTGGGTCCAATGCCCATCTCCACATTTTTGCATTTTTTAAATGCAAGCCCCTTGCTCTAAAATGATTAAGAATTCCAAGGTGGCAACAACAATGCATTAAGTCAAATGATGGCCCCAAGTGCCTACAGAAGCCACACACGCGTGGGACCAGTTTGACGCTCTCACGGTGGGCACCTAATGAGGTAACGGGCATAGAGCGCTCAGTGTAAGGACGTCTGCCCTTTTTAAGCTCCAGTCAGCACTTGCTCTCCGTCCTATTATTAACCCTGCGCCCTCAGATGCCAAGAAGGGATAAGCAAAGGGGAGTTGCAGTAACCCAGAAGCTGAAGTATTTCTGACAGCATGTGGCTATTTAGGCTGAAGTGCACTTTAAGAGATAAAGGAGAGGTATGAGGCAAGGTAATTAAGAAGAATGTGCTGGGCACTCACTAAAAACACTCTTTGGAACCATGCAGGTGGCAACTTGAAAGGACAAACTTCAACTTGCACTGATGTCTTTTTTTTTTAAGAAGCTGTAAATCTTGTTTTTAAACATGAATTTCTACCTTGGGATTAAATGGCTTAATTGGACTCTAATCCCTTTATAACAAGACACGGAAGAAGGAGAAAGTCAAGGGCTCCCCAAAGACCTGTATGTTGGTCTGCAAAGAAAACAGCCCCCTCCATTAACACGCTGTCTTACACCACTGTCTGAGTTGCTAAGAGTGTAGCCTCTCATGTAACTGATGTAACTGAATCCCCACCTGTACTATCCTTCTCTCTCTCTCTCTCTCTCTCTCTCTCTCTCTCTCTCTCTCTCTCTCTCTCTCTCTCTCTCTCTCTCTCTCTCTCTCTCTCTCTCTCTCTCTCTCTCCCTCTCCCACCACCACACACAGCATAAATTCTGACATGCATTCTATACACATTTTTATGAGTATACACACACTTTGTGCCCAGAGTTGATCTAACACACATACACACACGCGCGCACGCGCGCGCGCACGCTAATGCATGAAAACTCTAAAACAGGAACCTGATGACTCACATGAATCTGAAAAGTCAGACGTTTCTAAGGCATTCTTTATATAGAGGCATGGGGATATAAAGTGCAGCCCACACTCTGTAAAAATAAGCGAGCGAGTGAGATCAGCCGTGAGTTGCACCCTACAAAGGTGTATCTAAGAGACCTGTTCTCTGCGCCTTTGAAATCTTTATTCCTGGACATTTACCTCATCTGCCAAGAGGATGAACCAGAGCAGGAAAATCCCAGTAGTAATGCAAACAAATCTTCTTTCTTCCAAGTGTACGCATGCAAAGAATGGTAACACCAAGCCACAGCATTCATGGGGAAATCACTGGGCAGTGCTGACAGCTTTTTGTCAATGCAGATGGTTGTAAATGGGGATATTTCTGCAAATGGTGTTGTCAAACATATTCAGAAGTCCAGTGCACAAGTTCTATCTAGAGATAAGTGGGGCATCGAACAAACTCTCTCTCCCGCTTCATTTCTCCTCTAACATTGTTGAAAGACTGGGTTGGGTCTAGCCCACTAAATTCTCCCTACCTTCCCCATCCTGTACCTGTTTAGACACAAGTGGGTATTCAATAAATCAAATGATCAAAATATTTTTACTTAAGTATCTGGGCATGTGGTAACATATACTTAGGGAAACCTGAAAGGGAGAAATTCTTTCTTGTAGACCTCACAGATTACTGTAACTCTCTCAACTAAAAAATACCCAGAGTGTGTATAATATACTAGTAACCATAGTGAGTGAGGAGATCCTACTCCCAAACTAAGGCAGTGATAACAATCTAAAATATTTTGAGGCCTGTGTGAGACAGATGGGTGGATAAATGATAGAAGTATGGCTGTATAGAGATGATAGATAGATAGATAGATAGATAGATAGATAGATAGATAGATAGATAGATAGATTATTGATGGAGTCAGAGAGGTAGGTATGTAATGGTAGGTAACATGGACAGATGGAGTAGATGACAATGATAGATAGATAGATAGATAGATAGATAGATAGATAGATAGAGAGATAGATAGATAGATAGATAGATTAGATAAATAGATGATAGACAGATTAGGCAGACAGACATAAACATACAGACAGACAAATAGTGGTAGATAGATACAGAGAGACAAATATATGATATACTCTGATTGTACAGGTCCAGTCTCCAAAACCCTGCTCTCCATACTACAAATGTAATAAGAACCTGTGTGGGGGAATTATAAAACCACTTTACATCAAGGTAATTAAGGACCCAGAAGAAAAATGGTTTGGTCAAGTTCGCATAGTAGAGTGTGCCTTGATTTTAGTACTAAGATGAGCATGTCACCATGCTGTCAGCAAAGACCACCTGAGCATCACCTGAGCATCATCACTTAGCCAGCGTGGTTTATCTAAAGTTCTTACATCCTCTCTTCTTATTGTCTTCATTTGGACTACAAGACTTCCCATTACTCTTTTCCCCAAATACCTCCCAGTGGGGAAAAAATGCCCATCCCTTTTCCGCCTAAAGGCTTTCAATGACTGCCACTTTGTTCCTTATGCACTGCTAGCTGTGTCCAAGCATGCATGCTGTGTGTTGCTAAGGGCATCAATAATAAGCTGTTCCCAAGGAATCCACAATCTGGCAAATATTCAAAACTCAATGGCTCCTCTATAGTGAAGGCCAGACTCTCTAAAGTGGTATGGGGATTCTGATGGTAACCACACTGCCTTAGGTGGGATAGGGACTCAGAAATTAAAAACACAAAAGAATAGACTGAATAACCCATTCTTTTTACAGTGTCCCACGGCATGTTCCATGAGGTGTTTTAGGATACCAAGGTCTCAACTCTGTTCCAGTCTATCTATAACACCCCCTAGCACTGACTACTCGGGAATAGCCAATAAATAAGAAAAAGAGAGAAACGCCTCAGATCCTGTAGGAAGTTACTGCCTCCCTTCTAAGTAGAGATTCTAGCGTTTCCAATTTATTGTGTGGTAGTGACTCTCCAAGTCTTATAAGCGATATCAATTTTATCTTCACAGAAGGAAAGATGGGGAAATATTTGGATATTTGATTTAAATAATTTTCCATATTTAAAGAACAGTAAGTTAATGAAGGTACAGTCATAGACATGGAAAAATAACCACAATGGTAGGATACCACACAGATTAGATCATGCTGGTCCCAATTGAGAACATGAATACCCAGAGCATACACACATGGCAGTCCTGGAATTCACTATGTAGACCTCATTGGATGTGAACTCACAGAGCTATGCCTGCCTCTGCCTCCAAGTGTTGGAATTAAAGTGCACCATCATGCCCTCCCAAGGATAACTGAGTATTATTCCATTATGTGACTATGGAGTAAAAGGTCCAGGAAATTTCTTTTAGGGAGATTGTAAAACATATCTAGCTTCCACCAACAAGACAAAAGGGGTTTGAAAAACAAGAAGTCATTTTACAAAATCAGTCTAGAAGTCATCCGAGTTAAGTGTCCCGGTTCCTTCTGTGAAAAAGTAAGGCTGCAAATCTTCATTACATAACTGTTATCTTCACAGCAAGAAACCAGGGAAAGGGATAGCATTTTTTCATTGTCTTCCTATCTTCCTACCTATAAGAAACCACTTGCCAATCCTAGTAGACTCAGCAAGAGTAACTTCAAAGATACATACACCATAACTATGGGCCGGAAACACCTACACTTGACCATGACTCGGAGTCAGACCTGAGCAATTGGAGTAGGTTCTGTGGAACCTTTGGTGGAGAAAGTCAAGTCAGTGTCTTGGCACTAACACACTTAGCCTTAAGGAGAACCTGAGGATTCTCCCCAGGACCATTACTTGGGAAAGGTGCCTCCAAATAAAAAGAAAACATACGTTACAATAGAAGTCCTTCAGCCATACAGTACCTCTATAGGATAGTCACAAGTATAGGCCTTCTCCGCTCCATGATTCAGCATGTGGAGCCTATCCCAGGCCTGTCTGCAACACTCACAGATCTATGAAGCAGTCTCTTATTCCTCAGTAAGAGGTCCTGCTCCCTCAGCATCTCTTCCTCCTCCCCTTTCCTCTCCAGCCACACAAGCCCCATAAGTCCTTTCTTAATTTCTCTCTTTCTATATGTCAAACCCAGGGTAATAGAATTGCTATAAACAAACAAACAAAAACCCTTTCCCCACTTCATAATTGGAAAATCCCTTTTGCCACCTATATAGTTTTTGTCCCAGCCTCTTTACTGGTCTCCTAAAACTATACTCAATCACAACACCTTTCCCTGCCTAGCCCCTCCCAGAATCTCTCCATTTTTACAACTATAACTTTATAATGAGTGCTTTAAATTTTAAATCATTTTAGCCATTTATAGTTCCCTAACCCCCACTGGTTCCCAGAAGCCCTGAGGAATGGTAATATCTGCAGTTTATTAGGTGGTCACATAAAGCCAAAAAACGTAAGAGAAGACTTACAGGTATCATGATATACAACTGTTCAAAGAAGACATTGGTATGTACCTTTAACAAACGGAAAATTTCTAGGAGGGAAAGATCA